CGGGGGAGTCATGAAATCCTGGTGGAAATTTAAATAAAATCGCAAATCGTCCGGTAGGCGCGCATTGTTGAGCAATTCTGTTGTGGAATGTCCCACGCTGCCCGAGCGCACGCTTATCGACTCAAAGCGCGGTGACCCAGCTGATGGCGAACTACTCTGTTCTTTTGTGGAGGAACTAGCGTCGGACGTGGGCCTTGTCCTATGTTTCCCAAGAGATTGTGCGCTTTGACTCTTACGCAGGTCTGGTTGGGATGTGGTTGTGGCGCTTGCTGGGGACGGTCGGGATTCGGATACAGCACTGTCGGGTTCCTCTTCGTCGATGATGGGCTGCAAGGGGCTGAGAGTCTCGGATTCTACCTTCGTGGATGAATCGCTACCACGCGACTGCGGGCGACCAGCGCGCGACTTGGCTGTAGTGCGTGAGCTAGCCTTGGAGGATGACGATGCGGTGGGTGACGGATAGACACAATCGCGGCTCCCTTTCCTACACCGTTCACAAAGCGGACGATTTTCATCACACTTGATCCGGCGCGAACGGCAGGTAAAGCAGCCGCTCCGGGTGCGCTTATGCTTTTTCTGGTCCGAGAGAGGTTGGAAGAGGGCTTGTTTCTGGGAGGTTGTATATGAAGGGGGCACTATGATTGTCTGTGCCGCAGAGGGATCGTGCCAGAATGCAACACTCTCAGGATACTGTGTTGGTCCGAACAAAGAATACGAAGATGAGCTTGAATCCTGTTTCATTGAGTCCAAAAAGCCCGACATGGCCGCCTGGGGCGATTGATGTGAATGCGTCATTGTCGCGGCAGGGGAAAAAAACCCATCCAAACTCCCCTTAATTCCCTTGGATTTCCTTGATTCCTCTAATTCCACCCAACAAGTCAACAAGTCAACAAGATCGAGTCATCTTGATATCAAAGAAAGCTAGAAAAGAAGAGGTGAAGTTGGTGGGGGTCGGATGTACAAGCTGACCCAAACCGATGGAACCGGGGACGTGCGGAGATTAAAAGGAAAAAAGAGATGGACCGGGCCACGGAGTATAAAAACATCCATTTCCAACGGATTGGACAGTTTACACCGAATTCAACCGAATTACCTGGTTTGTTTCGTTTTTAATATTTTCTACGGAGTAGGAATAATTCTATTTTAGTGCCCAGCCTCGCAGAATAGGAGCTAAAACGTGATCTGCGACCCGTATCCAATACGATATCTAAGTACGGAGCACAACGCTGTATTCTGGACTACAACAAAGAGTTGGATATGGAAATATGGAAATGTGGAATATGAAAAGATGTGGATATACCATGGCCTGATCCAGGAGAGCTCCATTCCGGCAAACTATCTCGTTGGGGCTATATATATGGGCCTCAGTATATAGTACTCCATACCTAGGCATTGCCCTTCAAGGCTAGATACAGAATAGGTTGTTAGTATCTTTTAATTAGTCTAAGTACTCTATTCCGTAGTTCCCCCTGGATCTACATATGTAGGTAGGCATCCAAGATACCTTTACGGAGTACTTCTAAATACAACCCTACTTCGTACTTTGTCAATCGTTGCCACCCCAGCCCCCGATTCAACGAAGATGAAGAACATCTTAAACTTCCTTTTAGTCAAAAAATACAAAATAGATCTCCACGGACGAAACTCGGGTCTCGGCGTATCAGAAAATATACAGAGAAAAAGAAGAAAAAGGAAAAAGGGGGTTGATAACGACGATCCCAAGCCACGAGGATAAATCGAAGCAATTATTCTGGTATTAGGGCTTGGCCAGGTCTACTATGCAGAGGATGATGATAGCGTCTATGGATCTGTTCCGGTTCCCCCGAGACATTTTTTTTTTTTTTTTTTTTTTCGGTTTATGGCAAGGGAAATGAACGAGTCATACTGGAATATTTGGGCCTTTTAATTTCTTTGTGCTTTTTTTGCCTTTTCTTTTCTTTTCTTCTTTTTTTTTTTTTAAAGGGCTCTGCTCGAAGATAGGAGAGGAGCAGAGAATTTTCTTCTAATATCTTTTCCCTCTCGGCTTTTGTTCCCATTTTCGTATATTGACTGATAGTGGACCCTAAGAAAAAAACCAACAAGGGTCCTGAATTGACTCGCCAATTATCCGTTGTTAAGCTCCGGCAAGGTCAGCATAATATCGGTCATCTCTCATTTGTACTCCATATATTATACATAAAAGGCTCGAACGGCGAATCCCGCAATAAAAAAAACTTAAACCCGGCAAATGTGAAACATTGGACACGCAGATAAAAAGAAATGCCGAAAACGTTCTGCTGACGGAGATCGGTTCTAAGTGGAGGCGACTAGGGTAGACAATAGTCTACACTGTACGGAGTACTACTCCGTAAATGTGGGGGGAATTCTTTTCTGGGTCTTTTTTTTTCTCTTCGTTAACCGGTTCTAGTAAAAGTACCGCCATCACAGAATCCAGTGAGCTGTTGCCCCTTCTCCAGCCCACTCCAACATCCTGATTCGAGGGCGTCCGGTAGTTTTCAACCGGCACTGCATCTGATCGACGGTGGGTTGACAGAGAAGGTGGACCTGGTAGATCGAGAGAAAAAAAAGACACTAACGCTCTTCGAAGCCTTGGACCGACTCCAGTATTCGGCTCGAACATCTCAATTTAGTTGGAAGCTCCGTCGTCTACGCTATATGATCCCTAATTTGACTTGCAATATTAGTTCAATGACCGAAATATGGGCGGTACGTGGAAGAAGGGGTTGGGAATTATATGGAGATGCACGATGTAGATTGTAACCCCATCCATCACACGACCGAAATTGATACCGAGGTGATAATCCCGAAGAATATTCCAAGGTTCCAAAGCTCTGGCCATATTTATCCCATACATAAAATGCAAATGTACCGGCCGTGCACGAGCATTGCATCTCCAGTGGGTGAGATATATCCCGAGCTAAGACAACGCTAGGGGACCTCTATGACAGGACAGGACCCATATGAATCCCGACCCTGAGGCTCTTAGGTGATTTTCTCTCTAACTTTTTTTTTGAAGGGGTTTTGTTCTCGCTTGCAGCTCCCCTACAACATATATGAAACATGTATGAAGCAATCTACATCATGCATCAAGCTGATTTAAGTAATATCTCTGAAGAATTGTTATAGATCCGTCATAGACCCTGACAGAAGTCAATGTCCCCACTAACCCATTTACCACTATGCCCGATTTGGTATCATTTCGAGAGCGACAGGGTCCGAAGGGTGGCACTGACTATTAGTGTGATCAGCAGGCAGCAAAGAGTGGTTCTCTGGTGGACTCGTTGGAGATCACATCGCGTTGTGATGTGCAAGGTGCGTGCGCTGAACTTGAAACTGGAGTTTTATACTCAAATGATCAACACTTTCTGCGTTGTTCAATGTAATTGGTTCTTTTACCCAAATTAAACCGAGCATAATAAAGTTTTAATAGATTATCGGTTTATATTATGCTCCACGAAGAAAAATGTGTTTTTCTTAATCTGGTGGAAACGTGCAAAAATATCTCGGCCCGGAAGTTATCTACAAGCCCTCTCTATTGGCTACCATGGTAGGTTACAAAGTGCAAAGTGCAAAGTACCCCGTACTCATATAGCATTATCGTATTTTATTATTATAGTCCTAGATCTAGATTGTACACCAACCTGGTAGGTGGATATAGAGTGGCTGAAATGAGAATGTACAACTTTATACTCCGTACTCCGTATAGATCAAAAGTCCCATGCAATTCTCGGCAGTCGGAGCTTATTACCCCGGTTGTCAGTGTAAAATACATAGTTTCAAGTAGTGATCATCCTATAACTTTAGAATATGTAGTGTTGCATTCCATGAATACGCTATACGTTGCGTAGATAAGGGTTCAGTTATTATAGTCTACGAAACCATCACAGCTTTCAAACTCCACGGACAGACCCCAGTCCGCACCCAAAACGGATATGCTACTCGCCGATCTCAACTGACCATCTAATTGAGTTAACGCTGGTGAATTCGGGGGCCAAAAGCAACCCACATAATCCACCATCAAGCCCAACATCTGACTAAAAGGGGAATGGTGGAGTCATCAGAGAACCAAGACGTTGGGAATTGGGCTTGATCTATCACGTTGGCGCCACGATCATAGGCTCAACGGTCAGTTTAGCGTTGCAACGCTTCTGATTGCCCACCTTTCTCGTCTGGGTTGCAGTGCATACGCCACGCTTTTCCTCTTTCGACGCTCTAGATTCCACGTGAGCCGCGGTCTGCGGTCCGTCAATATTATTGTAGACAAGGGGAGGCTATACATGTGCGGGGTGTGTCGTGTGTTCCCCGAATGAGTTCCACGTACACGTGGGAGATGGGGCCACAGTGTGCGGTTAACAGGCACGACTTTGCCTGGAATAGGTCAGCTAGATAACTTCCTAAATGCAAAGTACAATGGTTTCCATATTAGAGCGCTAATATGCAGTTAAATCCACTGTGCAGGCCTGGCATGTGATGAGAATTTGACCGGTGAAATGGTTGCGATTTCTGCGATTTCAAAGGTTCATATCCCTGTTGATTATCAAGGGGCTTTGATTGCTGGGCCAATAGAGTATCATCCCCAATTTCTCATTTCCACTATAATTATTCTGTACTATGGGACAGATATGATTGCCCACATGGGTACAAAGCATGTCTGAATGTTGGACCGGCAGTGTCGGCACGTTCTTGGCTTCTCTCAACGCTTCTCTCAGCAGGTGGTGGCAGAAATCTTGGTCTCAATCCACGCCGGCTCTGATCTCCACCATATTGGCGCTCCAGAACACGTGAAATATATACAAGTATGCAATATGGTCATGTCTTTTTTTTTTCTGCAATCATACAAGATATACGGAGTATAGTCATAAATCGTCAACAGCCCCAACGATGGCATCATTCGGGATTTGTACTCCTGGGTCGATCATTGGTCAAAAAAACGCAGATCGAGAAGGGCGGCGTCCCTTTGTCAACTATGTGGAGTAATGCCATCCAAAACAGATGGGTATTCATGCACTCGAGGCTTTTTGTTTCTGGGCAATCAATTCCTTCACCACTTTATCCACTCCTTCAACGACGATTGCCCACTCGGTTTCATGGACCCGGGTTTCAAAGGCCTCGAGGTTCTCGTCCTGACCCTTCCGGAAAGGGATCTCCCGCACCAGGATTGGTGTGCCCATATCCACCTCAGAAATGACATCGTGCATCATAACACCGGTCTTGTCAATCTGGCCGTCCAGCCAAGCAGCATGAGCACGGTCAATCGCATTCTAATGATCAGAAAAAGGTAAATATCAGCATATCATCCTAACTAACAAGGTATAGTTCCCAAAAAAGAACTATATGACTTACAACGCCATTGAACGCCCCTGGCAGCGCGGGATGCAAGTTGATAATCCTCGTCTTAGCAGCTTCAAGAGGCTCCAAGAACTGCGGTGAAAGAATGTGCATGAAGCCGAGACACACGACCAGCTCCGGCGCGTCGGCGAGGATCAGCCTCGCGAGCTCAGCATCGTATTCCTCGCGCGCAAGCTGAACACCTTCTGGTGTTGCAGGGTGCTGCTTCTTGTACTTGACAAGGTTGTGGTATTCGGTTGGGATATTGGCCTTGCTTGCGCGCTCAAGGCCAAATGCGGTCTTGCGGTTGGAGATTACACGGACGATTGTTGCGTTTATCTGACCTGCGGCTACTTTATCGATCACAGCTTGCAGGTTTGAGCCATTGCCGGATATAAGGACTGTGACGCGAATTGGGGAGGTCATGGTGGATTGTATGGCGGGGTGAAATTGCAGACTTCGGAGGTTGAAAGGGTAAGGTGCGCAGTTGACACCTTTTTCGGCTGCCGTGAGGTCAATTGAGTATTGTCGTTGATAGTGAGACTGCAGATGCTACTCTCAAAACTTAGGGAATAAATGAAATAGCACAAGATCGCTGGCGCAAGCCAGCCCCGCGGACAAGGAGTTGGGTGATTTTTTGGATTACCTAATTTAGCCGCGGGGCAGCGGGTCCCGACTGTAGATGAGATAGATACTACTACGGAGTATGGAGCACGTAGATAGGGAATATCAACGGCAAAAAATTATTATAGTAGAAGTATTCCAGGCTGGCTGCATAGCCATAATATGTTTGTACATGAATTTCAATATGCGGAACATTTACTGGCCAGATAGGACCATGGGTATGGCCAGTCAGGGTGTAAATCTACGATAATACACCGAACAAACGAAGACCAAAAATTGATAGACGTAAAGACTAATGTTCTCGGGGCTGAAAGTCTGAGATATCTTCCAAGAGGGTTCTTTGGTTCCGGACCCCGAGAGCAAATATTCAATAACCCAACATGATAAAAGCACCTAAAGTCGATGCACAGAAATGAAATGCAAAGGGGATATCCGTGGAGGGGAAAAATCGTTAAAGGTTCTAAGCACACGCTGCATGCTAAAGCTAAAAGGAGAGAAGAATTCAAAAGTTAAAGTTGGGAGTTGCTCACATGGCTGGGATGACCATGCTTGCTAGGAGGTGGAAAGGCTCAGACGGCTGTGCCATCTGGAGCAGCAGAAGGAGCAGGAGGAGCAGGAGCAGAATTGGGTGCCGGGTTGTCGGTGTTGGAGTCGTTGCTGGGGGTTTCGTTGACGCCTTGGCCTCGGCACAGAGGACATGAGTTTCTACCGGTGGTTAACCACTATGACATATGGTTAGCAATCAAACAGATTCAAATACAATGGGCAACGGTAACGAACCTGGTCTATGCAGTCCTTGTGGAAGACGTGTTTGCATTTACTCAGCTCTCGAACTTCCTCGGCCACCTCATAATCACTCAAGCAGATCAAACAGCGCTCCCCGTCTTGGATTTGAATGGCGCCAGCGCCTTCCACAGCTTCGGCGACCAACGAACCTGCATACTCAACAAGACGGAATAGTCCGCCGGCGGAGTTGACGTCGGTTTGAGAGGCGACAGGAGGTTTGGCTGGGCCCAGCAGTGATGAAAGCAGGATCATGTCCTCGTAGGTTGGGTTCTGTTTAAGGAGTATTAGCCACCAGGCTCCTGATAAGGACGAGTAGAGAATTCTTACATCGGTGAAAAGACTTGGTGTCGTCAAAGCCGGGTGATTTTCAGAGAGGTTGGTTCCAACAACATAAATTAACCAACTGCGACCTCCGCTTGGTGGGGGTTGATCGGGCTCAACCATGCCATTACGCCGAACAGCACCGGAGCCGAGGGCTCGATGACGAGCATACTCAGAATCGCTTCGGCGTCGCTGACGAGCAGTGTTGAGTGTCATCGGCTCTTCCAAAGTCTCCGCCGTCGGTTGCATTGCCTGGCCTTCATGGAGATGGGGTAGAATATCCGGAGCAATTGCTGAAGCGGAGGATGGCCTACGGCTGGGAGTGGAAGTGCCGGAGGACAACGCAGACACCCCCTGCTCAGCTGGGGTTGATGGGGGCGGGTGTGGTCCTGGGGGACTGTCGGAGAAACCAGAAGGATGGTAGGACGGGAATGCAGCGCGGGGGCCAGTGTCGGACATTCTTCTGAAGTGATTGGGGGCGGATGGGCGTGGGAATTCTGTAGCTCCGGTGGGGGCGTGTAGTCCTGCATGGCCTGGCTGCCGAGGGATATGCAATCTGGATCGCCCATCGCCCCGTTGAGTAGGTTCACCGGTGGCATCTGGAGGCCGTGGGATAGCGTTGGGTGGCAAAAACGGTAGGCCGAGCAGAGCATCCAGACCAGGACCCGGACCTGCAGGCTGTTGCTGTTCAGTATTACCTCCACTTCCAGCCGGGACGGATCGAACCCCAACGACAACAAGTGTAACCGTTCGTCCTTCACCTTCGGTAGGCTCGTCAATGTCCATTCCATCGGTTTGGGTCCCACGGTCGCCGACACCATTCGTGCTCTGCCCTGGAGTGCCTGTGCCCGTGGGAGATTCTGAATTGGCAAATCGGAACACACGCAAGAAATTGACAGGATGTGAGGGTGCTTCATTTCCAGTATTGTTCGGCCCCTCTCCTGCTGCAGGCGGTTGAGCCTGTGCAGAGGTCGCGTGTTGCAAACTCTGGATGAAATTCTCTAAAGAGCCATCTAACCCATCATTGCCCAATGCTTGTATATTGGGCAGCGCGGGACCGGCAGTGCCGGATAACTGAGCTGCAATTGCGGATGCGGCAAGCTGAAGAACCCTTGACAGAGGTGTTTGCTCCTCTCGTCGGAGGACTCTGGATGATCTCGCCCGGATAATCCCAGGCAATCGGCGCATCAAAGCAGGACTCGGCTGGGCTGGAGATGAACCAGCTACCGGCGGCCACCCTGCCTGGATGGCTGGTTCTACCGAATCAAGTTCATGAGGCGGTTCGCCAAAGTCCATATGCGTGTCCATAGCCCTGTCATCAAATAAGGGATCTGACATGTGATGTTCCGGGCTTTCGTGAGGCCGCAAATCCGAGTGTGGTTGACCGAACATGTGAGAAATGGGAGATGAAATCGAATGGCGCATGCGTTGTAGCCTAACACTGCGACGCCAGGATGCTCTTGTGGGCTCGGGTATTTGAGATGGAGAGTCGGTGTATGTCGGGTTTGCTGGTGCATCTGGAATTCCAGCAGACTCCGCACGGGGTGGAATAAAATATGGCGCACGAGCAGATCGGCGCCGAGTAATTCCTCTGGAACTAAGTGAGTTGAACGCACTGAACCGACCGGTGGTGTGGGCTGTCTCGGATCTTGGGATGGGCATAGGAACTAGGCCATGTCGATGTGCATGTCCCTCCGCCGGGGTCTCTTCTTGACTATTAAGGAGTCCACGAATTACTGAATTGGGAAGAAGCCTAGAGCCCAGTCTTGACATGGTAGATTGTCTTCGTGCTGCCATTCGAGCAAATGCTGCGGTGCGGTATTCGCGAGGTGGGAGGTCATACTCGGGCCCGTCCTCCTCCTCAATACTCCGCATGGGTTGCGAACCGCCAGCGGAGAACCGGCCTTGCCGGTCGGATGCCATATCTTGGTCGTTCCTGGTGTGTGTGTCCATGTCTGTCTGGGGTGACGAACCACCCTCTCCGTTGTGTTCGGCCGCCTGTCTATGATTCATGTTTTCATCCCTTGTGTTAGGGCCACGCTGTATCGGGAAAGGTGCAAGGTGTGCCGGAAAGCCAGTGTTGGATGGATCACGTTGCGTAGAAGAGGACTGTCCCATAGTAACAGAGTTGTGACCGTTGGAGTGATACAGAGAGTGTCAACGAGTGTTCATTGCCACGCGAGGACCATATGGCTAGTAGCGGCGACCGTAACGATCTTGGTTTGAACCTAGGAGATGGAGATAACAAGTAAAAGTATCTAAGTGATGTATGAATTAGGTGTTGATTTCTTGCTCAAGCTGACAGGGTCGATGCAGTTGATTCTCGGGTAGTGGTTCTGAAGAAAGCGTATGTGTCGGACCTTTGGAACAAAGGAGTGGAGAGCGAACAGGGAGTTGGCGGTTACCGGGTTATTTGCGACAGGTACGAAACGCGTAAGATAATTTCACTGCCCAATACAAGAGCAACAGCGGCCAGAGGTCTCAAACTGTCTGACGAGTCCAGACACAGCCCACACTCCAAGTGGTATAACCGCCGAGCCCTGAATCCCGGGGAGCTATGGAAACCACGCTCAGAAAGGAACTGCCAGCGAGTGGCAAACGCGAAACGGAGGTGAAAGAGCACCGAACAAAATGAAAAAGGGGGAACTAGAGGAAAAGGAAAAGGAGGAGTAGAGGAGTCATATCAAAGCAAGCAGTTGATAGAGAAGACGATAAGTGATGATGTTTGCCTCCTTTGCTTCGGCTCGAGTGCCTGAGGCACAATATCTTCATTCCGTCATCTTCCACCACCCGGTTCTCTGACAAATGCGCAACCATCAATTGGGGAAATCATAGCCTAGACCCTAGTACAGATTGCTACGGCCCTTAATTTCTTTGGTGGCGCATGGAATACGCCCCCTCTTGAGCATATGGCTGCGCCGTCGTCTTCGGTTTTTTCTCTACCACTACCGCCTTGGCTCCAGCCGGCTGCCACTCGCGTATCTCAATATGACCGCCAGAAACGCAAAAAGAGTGTGGGGTGGAGTGAAAGCGATGTAGATGGCGAAGAAACAACTGATATCGCCTCGGCTACGGAATCTGAGCCCGCTGGGCCTCCCTTGGTATTGACGCCGAATGAATCCCATCAGTACCGAATTGCCGGTTTTCCGTCCAACCAAGAATTGCCGAAAGGCCATTTCCCCCATGAAGCAGATAAGGATGAGCAACTCAGAAGAGAGACTACCTCACGCCATCTCAAAGACTTGGCGGCATTATCACCGCCAATCTACCCTCCTCAGTCTGCCCAGCAAGGCAACATCCGCTTCCAGCATCTGGGTGTATTGACAGCCATTTTACATCGATGTATGCTCCAAGGTGATTATGTCCGAGCCGGACGAGCTTGGGGCTTGATCTTGCGCGAAGATTACAGAGGCTTTCAAATGGACGTACGCAACGAAGCAAGGTGGGGTATTGGCGCTGAAATCTTGCTGCGGCGTGACGAACAGGAAACCTCCCCTAGTCCTGGTAGCACCAAGGTGCCAAATGCGATGGACAGCACACCCATAAATTTTACAACCAAGGGCTTCGCGGCAGCCAAAGAATATTATGAACGACTTATTCTCAACCACCCATTCACGAAATCTTCACCACAGTCTATTTCCTCCTTGCACTTCTACCCTGCCATGTTTGGGCTCTGGGTGTATATCACCCAGGAAGAAAGCAAGGCATCTAGGAAAAGTATTGCTCTTCGCCAAGAAGAAGAGCCTGAAGAGTTTTCAGAGGATGAAAATTCAGAATCCGAATTTAGCCACCGTCGGAAGTCACAAAACAAGGCAGATGCTGCCATCACAGCAACAAGGGCAGTGGAGTTAGAACAGGCGCAGCAGATTGCCGCGCGTATGGACCAGCTCCTAGGGTCTCCTCCATTCTCTGACTCGCCTGAATTGCTGGAGCTCAGAGGCATGGTCTGTTTGTGGGTCGGTGATCTGTTGCTGTCTGCGCTGTCGTTACCGATAGACTTCGAACAAGACGACGACCCCGACCGGATGCTCATGGATGAAACCCCAGGCTCTCTTGAGGCCAGACGTGAACACAGGCTTGCAACTGAAAAGAAAGCAGCCGAAGTCCAAAGATCGGTTGAGCTCTTTGACAAGGCCAAGAAACGAGGCAGGAGTGTCGCATACAATATGGAGAGTCTTCATATCAATGATGACTCTGCTGATTCAGGCCCTGGTTGAGATGATCTTGATGTTCCTCTTCTGTGGGACCTCTCGTGTAAACTTTTATCCAATATACCCCCAATGAATTGCATCTGATTTATATCTAAACACATGTTTCGGCCTGTAACTATACCAGAGTTTGTTGTATAGATTGTATAAATTGTATGGAAAATGAAGAATTACAACACTATGTGACCTCAGCGGTGTAGTATTCACAATGTGGATAATCATGCAAGCTAAGGTTATTGGGTATTTATGCACCGCCGCTGCACCGCCCTATAATGTAGTTACGGCCCTAATTGCTGTGGATGGGCTTGAAGACATTTGAAATGATCGGCACGTGACTACGCGGCGATATCGCGTTTGCCCAACAACCTTACCATGGACTGATTCTCGTCGTCTCTCAGCGTCATAAAAAAAAGGACACATTTCTTCGGTCCGTTTTCAAAAGTTGGCTCTAAAAAGTATCATGGGGGTTGGCGATTATGTCCACTCCAAAGAAGGTGGGCAGGCTCGCGGGGCCCCCGACCAAGCCACCCAATCGCGCCAGCAACGTGCAGAACAAGCCAGAGTCGAGGTACCAGTCACCCAGCTAGTCGACTCAGGTCTTCCGGGTACCAATGGTATAGGTGGCTCGCTAGGATTCCATGGTACATCTCAATTCCCAAATCAGCCCCGCGGTCTTCCTACGCATGGGGCGCAGCGGGACAGGGATGTGTTTGACACAGACGTGGAGGCGATTGATGATTCAACCGTAGCAGGGACTAGCGTCTACGGATTTGATGACAGCAAATCCCAGGCAGCGTCAAGTACCAATGCTGCTTACACCAAACCTGATCCACAATCTGCCTACCAGCCTCGGCCTTCACGGCAGACTTACGGGTCTAACTGGTATGAAGGCTTGGGGGACCAAGCCATGAAGAAGGCCGGATTTGACTCAGATGACTTTGATGACTTTGGAAGCCAAATGTCTTCATCCATTGGTGGAGATGGCGGGGATAACGAAAAGCCAGACGAAGCACACTGGCATGCGTCACACAAACCGCGTACGACTGAGGAGCCATTGAGTAAGCGCCTGGAGAATTTCTGGTCCGCCAGCAGAAAGAGAACTTCTTCGCGGCAGCCTGTCACTGTAGACTCTGACCCCGAGCCTCAGACTAAACCACAGCCTAAGTCTAAGCCGCGGAAATTGGGTCAAATGCTTCCTCCTACTGGGCCCAGGAAGATCGTTCTCCCCCACAGCTCGTCGGCAACACCTAGGACTCGTTTCAGTCCACCAAAGCCTTCACTTCTGGAACAACTCGACCAACAACTGGATGCATCACCTACTCGCCACAACTCTCAACTTCCGCCAGATGTTGGCCGGACCCTCAGCATTGCATCGTTCCAGGACAGTGAGGGTGGAACCGATGATGGTATGGACGACCACACCATACGCGCAGATGTACGAATAGAAAGCGGCGGGCATTCAATCAATGCCTTCGATATGACGAGTTTGACCGACCTAGACGTCGACCACACCTTGCAGGATCCGTTTTTTGTGCACGAATCGCACGAAATAAACGAATCACATGAGCCGTTGCGTCGTGGCCGTAGCAACACTGTCATCCACTCTAAAAAGCGACCACTTGAAGCAGACTACCCCCAGAAGTGCTTTACCAAAAATCTTTCTCTGAGCTGCAAGCTGAGCCCTTTGACAAGTCCCCCACCCCTCCTCCACCCGTCATTAAATCCCCCTCCTTGCCACCGAACCCACCTAGTGTCCCAGATACTCAAGAACCCAAGAATGCCGTCTCCCATCTGTTGGCTCTGACGCACCAAGAACGCCAAACTTATTTGTCCCACATGACTATGGATGAATGGGAAGACTGCGGAGACCAAATGATTGGCCGTTTTACTGATCTTCTTTCGGAAATGAAAAACCTACGGCGTGCCCGCCGCCGCACAGCTGCTGTGTTTGAAGGCGAAGTCAAGCGCCGCCATGACCAAGTTGAAACACAAAGTTTGGAGTTGACGAATAAATTGACCGAGATGAGAACTGGCGGTGCAGAGGTTCTACGTGGACGCCACTCATGAGTAAAGAACGGCTGCTTGTCAGTGACCCTTATGTTGTTTGAGATGATTGTGTTATGTCCCAAACTACCCACCGCGGGACTTGATTTATTCATGTTCAATACCCCTTTTATGCTTTCAATTTTTATCAATTTTTTGCTATTGTTCCTTTGCTGGGGTCCTGTGTGGGGGTTTATCAAGTTCGCATTCAAATGTTAGTCTGAAGGGTGAATTTTGCTAAAATGATGTATGATATGGACAATGCGTAGCTCACTCGCCAAACTATGCTATTTAACCCAAGGTTTATTCACCCAAATGAAATGGAATACCAGATATAATAACGCCATCGATCCATAATGCAAGAATACTCCATCTCTCACTGCATCCAATGGGCAGGAGATGAAACGAAGGAACGTAATCCAACCACAGAAACCTATCGAGACTCAGCAGCAGGTTTATAAATCGCAGCAGCGAGTCTCTTATAGTCCTCCAGTAGAACAGCTACGTCCCCAATCCGGAGATCGTGCGCATCCTGTGTATCGAGGAACCGCTGGATCGGAGGATCAATTTTCAATGAAGAGGCGGGGAGCGGGCTGACAGGGCCACTAGTGCCGTCTGTTGAGGCAGGTGATGGCTTGAATCTGTCCAGTCCGGATGGGGATACGGACCTGCCGCTGGGGGTCTCTGGTACATTGCGGCCAAAGCTTTTCATCATTCCCGGGATGTGGTTCAGAGGGTTGAGCGTGTTGCCAAAGTTTCGCATTGATTCTAACGGAGTGGTGATGGGTGAGGTCGATGTGAGATCTTCGCGTAGTGATGTCGTGATGGACTTTCTACCGCTTCCCTGGGTTCGGGTGCTATCCACACTCCGGTCCCGAGGGGTAGGTCCGCTGGAAAGGTCCGTGAGTCTTGAACTACTACGTGGGGGTGTGCTTTCATCCACGGAAACAGAGTTGATTGCTGCGAGCTCCCCTTGGGTCAGGCTTTGGTTGGTGGCAGAGGCAAGCGGCAAGCTCACTAGACGACGAGCCTCGGCTAATGTCTTTGGTAGTATTGGTTCGTTACCATCCGAGCCAGGTCCTTGGATGTTTTGCATTTCCTTCAGACGACCAAATAGAAAGTTGAAACTGCTGTCCAATGTAGCACCAATGTTCTTCAAGCCTTGGTCGGCAGTGGTGCGCACAGCATCATTTGCAGCCCCGAGGACTTTAGCAGGAGGTTGGAAAATATTGCTGAGGCGTCGTTGCTGTGGTGTGGCAGAGGGGCGAGGCATGGGTAATGTAGAGGAGGCGGGCTCTTTGATTTCAGGTCTTGATAGTTCCGGCGATGCAGATACAGTGGCGACAGCCAAGGTTGTAGTCTCCTTGGGGGGCCGGAAAGGATCGACATGTTCTGCAGATGGGGTCGTTGCCTCACTAGCGGGTTTCAGAGGTCCATCCTGCAGCTCATCGGCACGCAGTGTGGAAAGATCGACGTTTTCCAAAAAGCTTATTGCGGCCTCTAGATTGGTTAGGCAGTAGGCCGTTTCTCCGTCAATTTTATTCGAAGACCTGAAACGTTGGATAAAAACCAAGTTGCTGACAATATTGATCCCTTCGGGAGGGCACGTCACAAGCGAGTAGATCAACGTTGGCAGAATCTCATCTGCAGAAGAGGAAGATGGTAACAGTTTAGTAAGAGCATCGACGATGGCCTTATGCGCCGCTGCGAGCTGCTGAAGCTTTCCAAGAGGATATTTGTAATCGTTCATCTTCGCAAGATGCTCTCGGGCTTGACAAAGAAATTCGTTCGCCTGGTCCTGCTTCTGCCCGTCGATTGATTCAAGGTCTATATCGATCCCAAGGTCCTTCAAATTAATGCCGACCAGCAGCAAAGCTGCAGTCTTGGAACGCAACTTTTCATCCCGCACATCATCCAATGTACTTTTGTGCCTCCAGAGTTTATCGTAAACTAGCTCGCAGACTCTTCTTTCGGCAGCCTCTTCTAATGCACTCCGTTTGTTTTCAAGGGCTCTACGAGCCTGTCGTTTTTCAGCTACTTCGGACGCAGTCAACATTTGGCGACCTGAAGCTCCTAGTCTGACATCGTCTTGAGAGCGTTTGCTACTCAGTTTCGACAGTGCGCTTCCTCGTGGAGCCTTTGCAGGGACTTGAGGCGAAAGATCGCGGTTGATACGAGTTATGAGAGCAGAAATATGTGTGGCGATGTGGGACTCGGCACGGCTGTAGAAAACTTGGAAGAGCTCGGAGATCTTTTCGATCGTGGGAGGCGAGTTGTGTACTTTGGCGCTCAGGGAATTCACGAAACTATTGGGGAAAATGGCTGTCAGAATAAATGTTAAGCATAGGCACCGATGTGACCGCACTTACCGATCTGCGAGGCTGATTAGTTCGATCGGCAGCTCCTCCGAGGGGTCTTGTACGCTTCTTGAAAGCACAAAGCCATCATCTGCCTGGGCATCGGCTGCTGTGCCAGAGTCTGCGGAGCCCCGTCTTTCGAATACGTCGGGTCCATTCTCCTGCCCCTCATTATTGACAGAGGACAGAGTTGCTGTCTTGGAATCTTGCTCAAGCGTGGGAGATTTCACGTCCGAGCTGCCCATTCTGTCGAATGACCGTGTTAAATGTTCAGAGGGGCCAGACATTTTAAGGCCAGGGGCGATGGGGTTCTATGAGGCACTAATTGCGCGTCTCCGCTCCCGGATGCAGCTGATAGGCCTGTGTAGATCCGCGTCTGAGACCCCCCCAGTTCTAGCCTAAGCTTGGTGTCCAGAAATAAAGCGATCGTAAGTACTCCATATAAAACAAGGAGTATACTAAAGCTGATCAGCAATAGCATATTACTCTCCTGATGATCTCTGAACCCCTTGACGAGGAATTAGATTCATATACGATATCGCGTCACGTCACGGGGGTACCCATCACGTGCCGATTGCTCTCCGCACTGCCCAGGTGCGTCACTTCCAAGGTTGATAAGTAACTCGCCGATAGCCGCGATAGACTCACCTGGGCACTTCTCCTTGATCTTGATCCTCATCATCAACACCCATCATGCCTCGAAAACGTTCATGGATTGAGTTTAGCGTCCACAGCCTATTATTATCAACTGCAGTATTATCAGGTGCTGCTTCCGCCTCAGGCTATTATCCACCCTCTCAACAACTCCCCATCATCCCGCCCCAGGTACCTTTGAATGGGGCGGAGGTTACACCAGACACCCACGAATTTGTAAGATGCCCTACGCAAGCTGTATTCACCCTAGTTACCGGTAATAACCGTTTATAGTCCTTACGCCACATATTCCACCGAGGTACCTATGAACAACCCGCCCTTCATGCGAGACTCGACATCAACCCAGACACTCGCCTCCGAACTGTATCCGAAGATGGCTACGGAGAACAATATATCGCATCGGAATCCTCTCTACTTGCTTCATCTAGTCCTCTCACAATACAACGGTTAGTCGACCGACGACTGCCGGTGATTCAAGGTCACCTGGCAGCCGCGCGATCTTCGGGCTTTGCGGCCGCCTTGTCTCCACTGGAATGGGCCATGGATACCATACCTGGGCCGAATATTACAGACAAGCAGACTGTCTTGTCATTTGCACAAATGACCGCAAATGACTATATCGAGGAGCCCGGAACAGGACAGTGGCACACTATCCATGGCAAGTTCAACTATTCGGGGAGCTTCGGTTGGCAAAAGGATGGGCTGAGAGGGCACATCTACTCCGATAAGACAAACGGCACTGTTATCATTTCCCTGAAGGGCACTTCGCCGGCTCTTTTTGATGGTACAGGTACCACAACAAATGATAAAGTCAATGACAATCTATTCTTCAGTTGTTGCTGTGGCCAAGGAGGCTCATATCTATGGAGGCAGGCCTGCGATTGCCAGAGTGCTACATACACGGCAAATCTGACATGCATTGTCGAGTCTATGACTGACGAGAACCGGTATTACCAGGCCGCGATCGACCTATACTCTAACGTTACCGAGATCTACCCGGATGCAAATATTTGGATGACCGGGCATTCCCTAGGTGGTGCAATGACAAGTCTGGTTGGATTGACGTTCGGGTTGCCCGTGGTCACTTTTGAGGCTGTGCCAGAGGCATTACCCGCAGCTCGACTTGGCCTTCCAAGCCCGCCAGGGTATGACCCACGATTTCCACAGTCGCGACAGTTCACTGGATCCTACCATTTTGGACATACGGCAGACCCGATCTATATGGGAACTTGCAATGGAATCAACTCTATCTGTACATGGGGCGGCTATGCGATGGAGTCGGCATGTCACACTGGACAGCTGTGCACATATGACACTGTGGCAGACAAGGGCTGGCGTGTCGGTCTTGGGACCCACAAGATTGAGAACGTGATATCTGATGTGATTTTGAAATACGACAGTGTCCCTTCATGTGTCGCAGAGGAAGAATGCTTCGACTGTGAACTCTGGAAGTTCTTCCGAAGCAACGGGTCTGAGGCCACAACTACTACAACTACCACCACTACCGCATCTCCCACCAGAACATCTACATGTCAGACCCCCGGGTGGTGGGGCTGTCTGGATGAAAGCACAACCGCTACGACTACGACTACGACTACGACTTCACTGACAACCAGTGCCACTACTACGACATGCCTGACTCCTGGTTGGTTCGGATGCAATGATCCTACCACAACGGCCACTCCGGCACCCACCGTGACTACCACTTTGCCCACGGTGACTGCAACGACCAGCTGTCACGATCCAGGGTGGTTTGGTTGCCGTGACGAAACTAGCACGGTAGCCACGACTACCGCTAATTCTGCCTCGCCCACTTCAACGACCTGCCATAGCCCAGGAAGGTTGTGGGGATGCTGGGATGAATCCACTAACACGCCTCCGATCACCTCGGTGCCCACGCCTACCAGCTAAACCCCATACCTTCCCCATGCATACACTTGCAGCATACTCTTGGTGCTCCTTTTTTTCAATTGATATGTGGGCGCTTGAGAAGCCGCAAGTGCTAGATATACC